AACTCTTTTTCTCTTCAACCCCCCCCTCCTTTGAAAAAATTCTAGATCATCGCCTGGTAAGTGAAAGTTAAGTAAAGTAAAGTAAGTAAATTAGTTAGAAATTAGTGAATAAATACTAGATAAATAAATGAAAATATAAAGAATATATTCTTCGAAATATGCCATTTACTTACAATAATACTAGTGATCTTAAAAATAGAATTTTTTAATGAGTTTTCATTAATTACTTAATTAACCTTTTACTGATTTACAGCGGGATCGGGCTTCATGAAAATCTGGTTAGGCAACTGATATTTCTTTTTCATACGAGTTCGGCAGAAACTGCTCCCTACTACTATCTTTTTACTTCCTGATATCTTGCAAAAACGCCTATCTTTGTACATAACTTATCAGTGAATGTGTACTTAGTTTTGTGAAGTGTATCTTATGTAAACTTTATATATGGAAGGAAAATAAACATTAAAAAAATGCACCTTGACTCGCTTCCCTTTGTGACAGATTATGGTACTGGTCACTTTTTCCATTAGAATATATTTACATTTGTCTTTCTACTAAGCCAACTGTGAAATTGATTTGAAAGTCATTTTTGTATATTTACATTTGCAAATGTTTTCCTTTATATAACACTACTGAAAGCAAGCGTTTTTATAACTGTATAATTTAATTTTAGTTGTAACACGTCATTCGATTGGTTACACGGTTTTATCCATTTTGTATAACATAACTTGCCTACGTCACAATGAGTTGCGTCAAAAACATATTACTCCGCTTACCGTTAACTTTTAAAATATGCGATATTTCAAGCCTTTTTCCGAAAGAAAAAAATGGAAAAATTGTCTTATTGTCTATGTTGAAATTAAATTATAAGGAATGAAGCATATTTCAACTTATGTTATACGAAACAAGCTAATTCAGAGAATTTGTGTCCCCCGCTTAGGGAAAAAGTAAACCATGCGCAGTTCGGGGAGGGGGGGGGGTCGGATCCCCCTGACTTAAGTTGAAAAATTATGAAATGTATACATGTATACTGAGGCAAATAAAATATGCCAATATGGATATAAAGATTTGATTGCTTATTCTTTATTATGTGTATAGAAGATTCTTTTTATATGGAATATTTATCACTCTGTGATGATGATTTTATGAGTTTGTAGAAGCCACACCTTATAAATTTTTCACTTCACATGCTGAGTACTATCATTTAGTAAAACTAATATTTCAGAAAAAAAAAATGATGCATCGTCCCGAAGTCGAACCCGGATCGCCCACATGTGAAACGAGAGACATACCACTGCGCCATGGAATCGCTCTATGTATGCAAGTTATTTAAGCTGTCACTATATATAAAGATGAAGTCGCATATAATCAACGTTCGATATTTTCAAAATTTAATACAATGCATGGTGCATGTCTAACTTAACCTTTATTAAACAGTTCTAATAGATGTAATAAGAATATAGAGTCCGCCGAGAACCTGTTTATACGTGATAACTCTCTCATGTCCCTGTGCTAAAAATAGCGACATGTAATACAATAAATACTTATAAAACAAACGGGGCGGGACACATTGAGAGGGGTCTTAGGGACTTTTGGTATAAAATTCCACTGCAAAAGCTCAAAATCTTCTTGAAATATCGCCCGGAAAGGATAGTGTTACACAGAGACAGAATGTATATATTTACGACCTTGAACTTTGACCTTTTGACCTCAAAATCAATAGGGGTCTTCCTTAGGTCACAGGAAGTTGTTATGTAAAATTTCATTGCAAAAGCTCAAAGGGTTCTCGAGATATCGTGTGGAAACGAAAGTGTTATAACAGACAAGATTTGCGAATTTATGACCTTGATCTTTGACCCTTTGACCTCAAAATCAATAGGGGTCTTCTTTAGTCCATAGGGAGTTGCTATGCAAAATTTCATTGCGAAAGCTCAAAGGATTCTCGAGATATCGTGTGGAAACGAAAGCGTTACAGACAGACAGAAAGACGGACGGACGGACGGACAGACGGACGGACGGACGGACGGACGGACAAACCCAAATTAATATCCCCCACTTTTCAAGCGGGGGACAATAACATAACTTGGGGCAGTTTACGCTTTTTTATAAACCGCTTCGCGGTTTATAAAGCGTAAACTGCCCCAAGTTATGTTATATCGTATAACAAAAGTTGAAATAAGCTTCATTCCTTAAATAAATACAGGTACGGGGTCAAGAGGTCATAGATGTGCGGTTGGATAAACGTTCGACGTAATCTCTGTGTGACGTCATAAAGGGTCGACGCGCGTTCAATCGGCAATCCTCGGCTGACTCCGCTCCGCTCCATTCAAACCTCGGATGTGATTGGTGGAGGAATACGCAACAGATCCTTACATTTCTCCGCCGGAAACTGCCTTATCACTCATTTCATATTTCGCTCTGCATAACGTTCTTCGAAAATGTTTCTTAATTTATGCAATTCTTTATCGTAAACAGGTTTTGATTACATCCTCATGTTAACAGGCTTTGAAAGCAAGAAAAAACTGTTGAGTGTGCCACAAAATAACTCCGATTTCAAATGTATGACATTTGAAAGAAATTCAAATAAGATCACATGACTGAATCAGCAAGATGGTAGATCACCGTTGACGTCCGAGGTTATGTGCGAGGTACGAGTCATCCGAGTGACGCGCGTTTAGTGGATTACATACATGCCGTTGGGTTTGAAATATAACGCATTTCGCACGTTAAAAATAACAATCAGGCAAATTTAAAGTATGAATAAGTCACAAATGTAAATATAAGTAATAAGGTATCATTTTTTGAGTTTTATTGAGATGTAAAACGTATGGAACGCCAAATTAACATATATTTAAATATTTGTACCTATCTTCAAATAATTGTACCTATCTTCAATTGAATTGTACCTATCTTCAAATGAATTGTACTTATCTTTAAATCAATTGTACCTATCTTTAAATGAATTAAAGATAGGTACAATTCAATTATACCTATCTTTAATTCATTTGAAGATAGGTACAATTGATTTGAAGATAGGTACAAATGCAATGAATTGAAGATAGGTATAATTGATTTAAAGATGGGTACAATTGAATTGAACCTATCTTTAATTACTAAGATATTGGCAATAACAACTACTCCCTTTATCATACGTCATTTCCGATACGTCACAGCTGACGCGAAAGTTTATCGGAATCTTCATCTGGTTGCAATACAAGATAAACTTACATGATGTACATGTGTATTTTTATAAGTATATGATGCTTTTTGCACATTTTGAATTAACCTTTATTTCTCCTTTTATCCTTGTTGTCATCGCTCTGTAGGTTCTGTTCGTTTCCCTCCATACTCAATATTGTCTCTAATGGAGCGTTCATTACTTACAAACAACATAAAACAAATTGAACCTAGCTAGGTATAATTGAATTGTACCTATCTTCAAATCCTTTGTGGATATGTCTTAATTGAACCTATCTTCAAATCAATTGTACCTATCTTTAAATCAATTATACCTATCTTCAAATGAATTAGAGATAGGTATAATTCAATTAGCCCCTTCACGGTAACTGCGGTACTACACTTTTGCAGGGCAAAATAATACCGTTTGGCGAAGTTTTTGTAGACAGATAATTAAATGACGTATCTCTAACAATTACCTTTACGTCATATTTCACCAAACTATATGATTTTGCCCTGCAAAAGAGCAGTACCGCATTTACCGTGAAACGGTCTATGAACCTATCTTTAATTAAATTAAAGATAGGTGTAATTCTATTAAAGATAGGTATAATTCATTTCTACGTAGGTATAATTATTTAGAGAAAGGTATGATTATTTATACCTATCTTCAATTCAATTGTACCTATCTTTAATTCAGTTGTACCTATCTTTAATTCAATTGTACCTATCTTCAATTCATTTGAAGATAGGTACAATTATTTGAAAATAGGTGCAATTATTTGAATACATGTTAATTTGGCGTTCCATAAAAACGGGTTGGCACATGATCAAATCTCCCATAAAGCCCGTTTTACATCTCAATAAAACTCAAAAAAATGATACCTTATTTCTTAAGTATACTCACGCGTAGAAATATACACGGAGAAACGTGCGTTAACGTGACGTCACTATGAGGCTGCAGCGACGTTAGTAAAAATGCAGCGATATAGGGCAGCGAGAAATTCAAATATTGAGTATATTTTAGTTGCTTCCGAACATATAAAATGTAAATACAAGGAATGTTTTTTCAGTGTAGTGTGAATTATTGGTGTGTGAATCACACAGACTTGCACGTAGGCATATTTTTCATGAAGCGCCAGCGCTTCGCCTTGGTCAATATGAATATTTTCTGGTGAATGACAAACCATATTCAATACCAAAAGAGTCCATAATTGTTTTATTATATAGTCGGGATTTGCATAAATAAGGCATTGAAGGCTGTATGACGACATCATTTTCTTTTGCGATCTTCCATTGTTGAAAATAAAAAAAAGTCTCCATATTACTGTTTGTAACCTCCTTGTTTTCCTTTCCGAGTTTTACTATGTTTAAGACGTCCATATGTTAAAAAATAATCCTGAAATAGGTTTGAATAATTGTTTTCCTGCAGGAAATGCTTTTCTGTGAAGCTGATTTGTTAGTAATTTGACCGAATGAAAGGACTAATATACATTTGTTATGTTATATTCGTGCTCGGTCGATATGCTTTTCTGTGAAATTTGTCTATGGATCGACCTCATGATTGAGCCTTATTTGTACAATACCGTCATTTTGTAAATCTTATGTTTTAAATTACCGGATACAGTGTAGCAGTATTTTATTTTTTACTGCTACCCGGTAAATTTAAAATTTACAAAATGACAATTCATGTGGCTTAAAATGCATTTACAGTATTTTACTAAGGCCGCAATACTTGAATACACAAAATTTAAATAAAATATTGGTTGTATCTTGGTGTTTAAATTTTTAATTCTTATATTTCTTTTTTTTCTATTTTCTTTCAGTTAATGCAGGCCTATGTTTTTGTGAATTTCCATGTAAGGATCCTTGGATGAGTAGGACGACCAGTTACTCTTCAATGACCCGATTCTTCATCTTCCCCGTGATATAAAATAAAAACACAACGACAGGATAAAGAATCTATCGTCATACTCACATTGAAAACAGTGCTGGATATTATATCTGCAAAACCGGCCATTTTGAAGTTTTGATGCCATCCTTGAATCTGATTCCAAAATAATGGACAGATGCAATTTTAATGTATTGAAGAGATTTTTAGATTATTCACCCTCTTGATTTTTTTTTTCTAAAAAGAGGACAGTTTATGATAATCATAACCTGGTCATAAACATTCAAAAAATCTTAGCCCAAGGTCAATCGTGCACACCATAAAAACATAAATATACTAGTAACTTGCGCAAAGCATTAATGTCTAATGTTCTTGAATACAACAGACACTATATTTAAAATCCTTTCTTCTCTCCTGCTGACTTGCTTGGTTGTTCTTTATAATTATAGGTCTATGGTGTGGAAAAAAGTCTTCTGTTTTATAAGTAAAATCTGCATGACTTTCATGTCGTACTTTGTCACAAGGAAATACAACTAGTTTATCTAAACAAGAGGTCCATGAGTCTTGTAGGTCACTTGATCTCAAATAACATCTTTCCAACCATTGAATTTGATTGATTGATTGATTGTATATTGTTTAACGTCCCTCTCGAGAATTTTTTACTCATATGGAGACGCCACCATTTGCCGGTGGAGAGCTGCAAATTTTGTCCTTTACTCGGCACTTAGGGCCATTGAGCAGGGAAAGATCTTTTTCGTGCCAGCACCTACTGCGACACGGGACCTCGGTTTATACGGTCTCATCCGAAGGACCGGTCTCCTCGTCCTGCAGTGGGATTCGAACCCGTGACGTAAGGATTGACTCCTTACTTTGCGACTCTAGAGCAGACGCTCTAAGTCTAACCACTGCGCCATGCGGGCGACATTGTTTTAAAACAGAGGCCATGCCATTCACAATTTTGTGCACTGCTCGTCATAACAATTACATATGTGAAGTATGAAAGCCATAGCTCTTACCCCATAAAATTATGGCCAAGGTTATTTTTTTTAAGTAGGCCAAGGTCAAGGTTAAAAGGTCAGAGTTGTTGGTATCCAATGAAAGGTCTTGCCACAAGGATTCACATGTAAAGTATGGAAGCCTTAGCCCTTACCGTTAAAAACTTATAACCAAGGTTAAAATTTCTGTAAGAGTAGGTCAATCTCCAAAGTCAAAGTTGTTGGTATCCAATTAAAGGTCTTGTCACAAGAATAACATATGTGAAGTTTGAAGGCCCTAGCCATTTACGTACAAAAGTTATAGCCAAGGTTAAAGTTTTTTAAAAGCAGGTCAATCTCCAAGGTCAAGGTCTAAAGGCCAAAATTGTTGGTATCAAATGAAAGATCTTTTAACACAGAATTCATATGTGCGGACAAAGAGACAGACAGACAGACGTGGCAAAAACTATATACTCCCGAATCTTCGTTTACGGGGGCATTCAAATATTAAGTTTTGGCATGCTTTCTTCGTATTAATTTTTTAAAAATCATCTCGTGTCCTTCCGTCTATCTGTCTGTCTGTGTCTGTTTGTCTGCAAAACTTGCTCATACCTTTGATTTAGTGGATCCATGACTTTCATATTTCACATGTGTATTTCTTGTGACATGGCCTTTTCTTTAAATACCAACAAATTTGACCTAGGAGTTTGACACACTTTTACACAAAATTTCCCAACTTTTACTTTGGTAATATCTTTTGAATGACATATACTAGGGCTTTCAAACATCACATATGTAATCCTTGTGACAAGATCTTTTCATGGATACCAACAAATTTGACCTTGGAGATTTATATACTTAAAAAAACCTTGGCCATAACCTTTGAACAGTAAGGGCTAAGGCTTTCATTCTTCACATGTGTAATCCTTGTAAAAAGCCCTTTCATTGGATACCAACATAATGACCTATTTACCTAGACCTTGGAGTTTGAACAACTTAAAAAAAACAATTATTGACCATAATTTTTGAAGGGTTAGGGATAGGGCCTGCATACTTCACATATTGTATCAGTGTGACAAGACTTTTCATTGGATACCAAGAACTTTGATCTTAATCTTGGAGTTTGACCGTCTTTTTTAAAACTTTAACCTTGGTCATAAATTTTGAAAGGTAAGGGCAAAGGCTTTCATCCTTCACATTCATAATATTTGTGACAAGCCTTTTCTTTAGAATCCAACAATTTTGACCCTTTGACCTTGATCCTGGAATTTGGCATACCGTTCAAAAACTTATCATTGGCCATAACTTTTGAATAAGTGGTGCTAGGGCTTTCATATTTTTTCACAATTGTATTTCTTGTGTGAGATATGGAGATAACGAATAGTATTCAATCTCAAAGTCCATAAAACAATACAAAATAAGATCAGAGCAAACACTGACCTCCGAAACATCAGAGGTGAGATCAGGTGCCATGGAGGAGTGAGCATCCCCTGCTGACTGGTCACACCCGCTAAGTGCTCCTTATCATGATCAGGAAATAACGGAAAAATCCGCCGTCAATTCAGTGTATAAATAATGGACTAACAGTTAGTATGAAAAACGTCAGTCAGCATTTGACTCAATGATAAATTGTATTTGCTAACAAGGTCATTGTATCGACCATTGAACTTACGAAATGAATTGGCTTTAAACGAGACGGCAGATATTCTTGTTTCATCAACTTACCTGTCAATAATTTACTTCGTTTTAGAAATTATTCATACGTAGAGCAAGCACTTGCGTATCAAATCAACTGAGAGATATACACTCCGTATGCAGGTGATGAAGTTATATTGCTGCAGAAGTAAGGGATGTTGACGATAGAAAAGTTAAAGTCATCACGTTTATCATAGAGCTTGGTTGTTAGATTACCATTAACGTCTTTTCAAGTAAAATATCCAAGTATGAAACAGATGTGTCAGACTCTGTGGTATCTTTTATTTCAAGCTCACCAGGATATATCGTATCGACGTAGGAATGAAAATTATCATTGTTAATTGACAATACGTCGTCGATATATCTGAATGTCGAGTTGAAGGCCACAGCAATTGTTTTCTTCTTTTCACGCATAAGATTTTGCACAAATCCTGCTTCATATGAATATAAAAATAGGTCCGCTAATAACGGAGCGCAATTGGTACCCATGGGAATTCCAGTAGATTGTTGGAATACCTGGTCTCCAAAAACCACATAGATATTGTCAATCAGAAAATCAATCATCTCTTTGATGTCAACTTCAGAGTAGATTGTTGGAATACCTGGTCTCCAAAAACCACATAGATATTGTCAATCAGAAACTCAATCATCTCTTTGATGTCAACTTCAGAGTACTTGTTTGTGCAATCAGTATGTGTTTTAACAAATTGATTTTGCAAATGACCAATGACCAGGTAAATAAATTTACGAGTTCCATTTTTATTAGCTCTTCTGAGCCAAAGGCTCAAAGAGCTAATGCTATGGCCATTTGTGCGGTGTGCGTCATGCGGTGTGCGTTAACTTTTTAGATTATGGCCCATAACTCAAGAACCCCTTGGCCAATCATTGTCAAATTTGTCACAGGGTATCCTTGGCCCAAGGGCTACCATTTATACTAAAACTAGGGGTGGAACCCTAAAACAAAAGGAGATAATCAGGAAAATGAAACCAAAAGTACTGGTTGCTAAAAAGTCTTCTCCAGAATCACCAGGCAGATTTTCACCATACTTACATACAAGGATCGGGATATGTTGAAGATTAAAAATTGTTCAAGGCATGACCGTGGGGCAAAGGGCGTGGTCTCAAGGTCACTTCAAAGTTGACCAAAATTTACACTTAATAAAAACGTTGATATTTTGCTTACTATAAAGACTAGGGTCATTAAATCTTGTAAGTTGATGCATCTCAGGACTTCACATCATGTTAATACAAAAGTAGGTCACGGTGACCTACTTTTTAAATTTCACGGGCTTTTGTTTTCAAATTGATTTGGAGGCATATTTTGGACACTTTAAGGCCTATGATCATAAAACTTTGTCAGTTGGTACATCTTTGGTCCACAAACAAAATCAACAAAATCGAATTTTATGGCTAATCTTTTCTAAAACATTTAATCCCATTATTTAAGACACTGAGAGGTTTAGAATCACCAAATCTTTTTTTTTTTTCTAACTTTGCAGGCATTTGTTTTTAAATTGTTTAAAAGGCATATTTTGAATACTATAAGACCTATGATCATCAAATTTTGTCAGTTGACATTTGTTTTCAAATTGTCGACCAAAAAGTAGGTCACTGTGACCTACTTTTGAATTTTACTATAAGACGGGTACTTATGATCATCAAACTTTGTCAGTTGATGCATCTTGGGTTTTCAGAGATCGACGACCAAAAAGTAGGTCACATTGACCTATTTTTGACATTTTATGGTTAGATTTTTGTATCTCAGGTACTGAGTGGCTTAGAATCATCAAACTTTGTCAGTAGATGCATCTTAAGTTTTCTGATCATGTCTACCAAAAAGTAGGTCACGGTGACCTACTTTTGAATATCTCAGGTACTGATTGGCTTAGAATCTCAAACTTTGTCAGTAGATGCATCTTGGGTTTTCGGATCATGTCGACCAAAAAGTAGGTCACGGTGACCTACTTTTGACAATTTTTGGCTATATTTAGGTATTTCAGGTACTTATTGGTGTAGAATCATCAAACTTTGTTATTTGAAGCATCTTGGGTTCTTGGAGAATGATAATTGAAAAATAGGTCACGGTGACCTACTTGTGAAATTTATGGCTATATTTAAGTATTCTAGGGTACTTATTTGCTTAGAAATTGTCAGACTTTGTCAGTTGATGCACTTTGGGTTTTCGGAGAATGTTGACTAATAAGAAGGTCACTGTGACCCACTTATGAATATCTCAAGTACATGTACTTATTGGCTTAGAATCATCAATCTTTGTCAATTAATGCATCTTGTGTCCTCAGAAAATTTCAATCAAAAAGAAAGTCACCATGACCTACTTATAGTATTTTATAGTGACATTTAAATATCTTCAGCCCTAACTGGCTAAGAATCATCAAACTTCATCAGTTGATGCATCTTGGGTCTTAGGATAGATTGTATAATTTATCAGAAGAGCGATTCAAGGCCCTTGGGCTTCTTGTTTAAAAAGAGCAGCTGTCAATGATATCAAAAAGCCTGGACTTCAATTTATCGTGGGGAATGGTTGTA